CCTGAAAGATGTTTTCTGTGTGTGTGTGTGTGTGTGTGTGTGTGTGTGCTAATACTCCTTCCCTCCGGCTGAACTTTTCTCTGGAGTGAAATTCATAGAAAGATACGAATGTCAAAAAGTCGATTTGCAACACACATCCCATCTATTTTCCATTTGAGAGGGTTTTGCCAGCTATGAGCTGTGTGTGTGAAAGTGATTTGGGATTACAGGTGCCTGGCAGGTTTATCGGAGACCCGGCGGCTTTACCCATCCGTCTGAGTGTGTGTAAGTCTGCAGGCTTAGTGTTGTCTGCACAGGGTTTCTCTCTCATGAATCTGATTGTTTGATTTGTGTCTTGTGTCTTGTGTTTACTGAGATCCGACCCCTCGCTGAAGGGAATATGGTCTGGATTTATTAGTACTGACTCCTCGCTGCATACGGGTCAGGGATTTGAAGACACTCTTTAGTGTTAAAGTGTTAAAGTTGAGTGTGTGCATGTGTATCGCCCCACAGCGTTTGAGCTCCAGACATCAGTGATTCCTCAAATCATGTGTGTTACCAACACTGGGTAGATTACTTACAAATTGTAGTCTGTTACTGATTCCAAATTACATGACAAAAATTGTAGTTAATCCGTTACATTACACATTTTAGGTAATGTAATCGGACTACTTTTAGATTACTTCTGACCTAACTCATTTATCACATTGATTTAAATAGGATAATCGTGTACCATATTGATATAAAAATGTGACCCTGTCTGTGAAATCCAGGCTAAAGTCTCAAAATCTAATTATGAGATAACAAGCATCAAAGTTTGATTTCAGCAATTAATTTCACTATGATTCCAATCTTTGACATGGCCTTACTCAGTCAATATTAAAGATATAAAGGTAATTTCACAGAATGTTCTTTACATCCTTATGAAGGATGATTTTATGTAGAAAACATACAGACTTTAGCTGGGTTTTCACAGGCATGGTCACAAATACAAAGAGAAAGAAAATATATATTTTAAAAAGTCCAAAGACCAAAGTCTTCTAAAGAAATGGTAATGCATGGTTACGTAACCCACTGAATGATCATTCAAATGAAAATTGATGCAATGCTGACATGTTAACAAGACACTTCTTGAAACTGAAATTATTTTTGTGAATCCAGTGGTCAAATGCGGTGGCCTCTTAAATTCCTGTGTAATTATGGCCATCTGACTATAATTATAGTGTATAATTATATTATGACTGGTCTTTGTGTGAATGTCTACAAAACTGGAAGACGTTCTGAATGTAAATAAGCGGTAGGCTATTTTAGAAAGGAAAATTAAAAAGAAGAATTAGGGAGAATCATTAAATTATGAATGATTTATTCCTATTGTGTAAATAAAATGTAATCATGTATTCATTAAAAAAGAACTAGTCTGATTATGACTATTTTAAAGTGTAATCAAATCTAATTACAGGTATTTAATTTTTGTAATCTGATTACATAATCCAGATTACAGTGTGTGTTACCAAGTGATCAGATGCACAAGTGTCCGTCAGTTTTGCGCATGCAAACATTTTCATATATTTTCTCCAGTAAATCAAATTTGAGTTCAGCGGTGTAATGCGATCATATCAGCTGTCTGAAGAGGAATAAGCAATCAATGTCATCCCAGTAATTCACAGAGAGTGAAATGTTGAAATCTTTAGCTATGAATTTGGTTGTCTGATAGTTTGTGTTCATGTCAAAGCAGCTTTCTCACTGTTTGTCTGTCAGTCAGTGATGGTTGTTGAATATTTATATTGAGTTATAGATTCACAGCTTGCAGCATGTCTCTGGTTCTTAGACTATAAATGTCTCTATTCAGTGTTGTGATAAGTGCTGTCAGGTTTATTGTTCTCCAAAAGCTGACCTGTTGACAGCAGAAGAGAAACTGTTATCAATTCACATTTCCTCCGCGTTCTAGCATACGCCGCCTTCAAGTCATGTCGCAATGATTTTTTTATGAGAGGAGCATGTATGAACACCACGATGTCATAATTACCAGCAGGGAATTTTTCTTTGAGCTCAGATCCGGCAAGCAAAAATGTTCTAAGAACGCTTCCATTAAGTTACGTTATTTCGGAATGTTGTTTTTTTAAACGTTTTAACTTTTTTTTGGTTACATGAATGTTAATGTTCCGTTTTATGATTTTGCAAAGATGAGAACGCTACCTTTGAATGTTCTCTGAATGTTTTGAAACAGGAAGTAACGTTTAAAAGTAAAACGTTCCATGAATGATGAATAAATAACGCTTTTTAGGCCAGATAACTAACATGAGCACTCTTTTAGCATTACTGGATGAACGTTTGTTCATAACTTTGAGAGAACATTTCCAGAACCTTCTGACAACGTTTCGAGTTGAAAGCATGTCTAAATTGAATAATGGCAGAAGCAGTAAAGCAATATGTGTGAATGTTGACTCAGTTTTTTCAGTCGCATTCCTCTAAAGATCACATTTCATCCTCTCTAGATTTGTCTTTATCTGGCTTCTCTAGATCATCTCGTTGTTTTTCTGCATTCTAACAGGTTCTGATAAGCTCCGCCCACTGATCACTGAAAACAAACAACACAACAACAAATCCGTGTTTGGGTCTGAGTCAGAGTATAGCTGGATCAAGCATGAAGATTTCCTCTCAAAGCCAGACTCAGCGCGGATAAAACCCTGTCAATCAAAACGCATATGAAAACATGCCTTCCTACAGAGAGGTTTCAGAAGAGCATCTGTGAGATTTACACTATATATGACAGCTTTGTGAGGATCAGGCCCAAATTTTGATGGCGCTTTTTGGCTGAACATTATTTGGCTGTCTGGGTGCACCGTCCCTTTAAGAGCTAATGCACCAGGCTTACAGAAATCTGTCGATTGCGAATGACGAGTACAGCTTTCTTCTCTCTGTGTGTGTGTGTGTGTGTGTGTGTGCGCATGTTTCACTCTGATGGATCACATTGTCACTCTCTCCCTCCTGCTTTTACACTGATCAATGAGCTAATGGAGTGTTAGAGCTGGATAACAGCTTTACTCCAGTGCTTTACACACACACACACACACACACACGGCCGACCCTCCTCAGGTCTTCACTCTGTAGGGGTTTGTAAGAAAGCACAAGTCATTTGTCTTGTGACAATAGTGGACTTCCTTTAGGGTCTGCGGAGGTTAAACGTGAAGGTATTCATGATATCTGTCTAGTAGGATTGGGAAAAATTCAGACTTGAGTCAGTACATGAGCTGAAATTGAATCAGCACGACTGGAAGATGAATTTACTGAAAGAGTTAAAGAGGAATGCCAATAGTCCAAAACAACAATAAAAATGGCCAAAAACAGATTGGTTATTATGGGATCTGTCCTTTACGTTTAGGAATTTTGCAGATGCTTTTATCCAAAGAGAGTTGTTTCAAGCTGTATATTTGATCAGTTTGTCCATTCCCTGCTTTATTTCGTAGGAAATGGAAGTGTTCTGTAAAAGGAAAGTTAATTGAATTTGAAATGAAATGTAGAAATATTTAATTAAATATGATTACATTTAATTAATAAATATTTATTTAATTTTTTTTTTTTAAATGTTTATATAGATTTTTGGTATAGATTTTTTTTTTAACATTTATTTTATATGTTATTTAACTATAATATCAGGCATTATAAATATCTGATTTACGTAGCAGAAAACTTCGAGCATTGATTTGCACATATGCTTTGTGACAACATGTTTACAAGTAATGACATGTAATATTAAAAACGTCAGTTTCTTTCAATTCATACCATTTTAATTCGACTTTTAAGTTTACATGCAAATTACAGTTCTGCATCTTGTTTGCTAAATCAGTTCAATTGACACTGGAGTATTGGTTGCGACTCTACACGCACTTGATCCTGCTGCTGTCTAGTCCTCAAATCTCAGTGCTCCTGTCACATCACTCCAGGCTAATCCTCCCTCTCATCCCGTATCACACATTCACTTGCAGTGTTGCTAATCAGGGTCTGGAGGGCAGATTATGTTTTAACGATCCGAACCGCTTTATGTCATGACTCATGAGTCTTTGATTGGCAGGTTTTTGCCCATCTGACTGAAATCACAGTTATTATGTGCGCTGATGATTTCACAGTCTGACTCAAGTGGAACAGCTCAGGTGCGGCAGAGAGACGTCCAGTGTGATTAGCACTGATAGAGACAGAAATGATGGGACGAATCTCTCAGAAACAGCACCAGGTCACATTTTTTGGAATTTTGAGATTATTTTCATTTCAGCACATTTTGTCCCAAAATGCTTGTTTACTGTAATGCATCTGGGTGTTTTGCTTGTGCAATTCCTGTAATTCTCAGTGGTGACTCTTATTACATTCTCATTACTGTAATACAATAATGTTTTAATTAAAATCTGCATTAATAAAAAGCAGTACAACAGATACTAGCATGAAGTATAAATACGTTCCAGTTTTACAAAAAAAAATTCCACATCACAGCAATGATGTCGCATTATGGAAAATTGGAGGAAATGTGCTTAACTGTCATGAAAATAATACATCTTTTTAAATATAGGCTTCATTTTATTTCAATTTGACCTGGACATGTAATTTACAGATTTTGTGAGATGAGAGAAAATGTCTGAGTGTCTTTAACATGAGGCAGAACTAAGAAAAAAGTCCAGCAAGCCGATGCTTATGGGCACAGCAGGAAATCAGCCAACCAGAAATAGGAAGAGAAAAGGAGAGAGGGAGGCTCATAAGTAATTGAAATGGAGGTGATGTCGCAGATGGGCTGCACTGCTACTGTAACTGAAGTGCAGCCGAGCGTTTGGGATAAAATTGCTTTCTAATTATTCAATCCACCTTTACTTTTCCTCCTGAGAGACAGAGAGAGAATGACTGAAAGAAAGAGAGAGAGAGAAAGATAGTCTCTACATGTATGTTGATGAAGCATTTACAGGTTGATATTTGCATGCTGTTTGTTTTGTTGTATTATGAGCCATACACTAAATGTGCATTTATTTTTTTCCCAGCATGCAGCAGCAGTGGGTGTGTCTGGCTTTACTGGCCCTCCTGACTGTCACAGCGACGCTGGCAGATGGTGGAAAAACAGAGAAACAAGGTAACAGAACATAACCACACAATGCTTTATGCTATCTCACACTTTTCTAAATCACCCTTACTGCTCTGTATTGTCACATATTGCTATATTTTACCCTACACTACTCTACATAACCCCATACTTGTCTATATTACCCAATGCTGCTCTGTATTAACCCATTAGTCCACATTGCTCTATATTACCTCTCAATGCACTGCAATATCCCACACTGCTCGATGTCACCACACATGACTTTATATTTCTCTGTATTACTCTATATCACCCCAGACTAATCTAAATTTCCCCTTGCTCCACTATATTATCCCACAGTACGCTATATTACCCCATGATCTATCATTTCTCATACTGCTCTGTATCATCCTTAGTGCTCTGGATTGCCACATATTGCTCTGTATTACCCCACACTGCTCTGTATCACCTATGCCGATCTACATTACGCTATACTGCTCTATATCATCTATATCCCATCGCTCTTTATTACCCCATAGAGATTTATTTCACCATTCCGCTCTATATTACTCCATTCTGCTCTGTATCACCATGCCTCTCTATATTATCCCAGGCAGCTCATTATCACCCACGCCACTCTATATTACCCAGTACTGCTCTATATCACCTACGCCGCTCTATATTACCTAATACTGCTCTGTATCACCCACTCTGCTCTATATTACACCATATTGCTTTATTTAACCCACACTGCTCTATATTACCCAATACTACTGGATAAATCCCACTCCATTCTATATTACTCCATACCTATCAATATAACCCATACTACTCTATATTGCCTCATGCTGCTATATATATCACTCACCCCATTCTATATTACACAGTACTTCTCTGAATAACCCACACTGCTCTATATTACTCCATACTACTCTACATAACCCATGCCGCTCTATACAGTGAAAAAGTGATGTGACGTGTAGCCAAGTATGGTGTCCCATAGTCGGAATTTGTGCTCTGCTTTTAACCCATCTAATTGCACGCACACAGCAGTGAGTAGTGAACACACACACATACACGGAGCAGTGGGCAGCCATTTTTGCTGCAGTGTCGGGGAGCAGTTGGGGGTTCAGTGCTCAAGGGTCTCACTTCAGTCATGGTATTGAGGGTGGAAGAGAGCTTGTACATTCACTCACCCCACTACAATCCCTGCCAGTACTGAGACTCAAACCTGCGACCTTTGGATTACAAGTCCGACTCTCTACTCATTAGACCACGACCTCAGTATGTTACTCCATACTGCTCTATATAACACACGCCACTCTATATTACTCCATACTGCTCTATATATCCCACACCGCTCTATATTACTCCATACTGCTCTATATATCCCACGCCGCTCTATATTACTCCATACTGCTCTATATAACCCACACCGCTCTATATTACTCCATACTGCTCTATAAAACCCACGCACTCTATATTACTCCATACTGCTCTATATAACCCACGCCGCTCTATATTACTCCATACTGCTCTATATAACCCACGCCGCTCTATATTACTCCATACTGCTCTATATAACACACACCGCTCTATATTACGCCATACTGCTCTATAAAACCCACACCGCTCTATATTACGCCATACTGCTCTATAAAACCCACGCGCTCTATATTACTCCATACTGCTCTATATAACCCACGCTGCTCTATATTACGCCATACTGCTCTATAAAACCCACACCGCTCTATATTACTCCATACTGCTCTATATAACCCACGCTGCTCTATATTACGCCATACTGCTCTATATAACCCACACTGCTCTATATTACCCAGTACTGATCTATATAACTCTCACTGCTCTGTACGATCCCATACTGCTCTATATCACCTGAGCCGTTATAGATTACCCTATGCTGCTCTGTCACTCACGCCGCACTCTATTACCAGTGCCGCTCTGTATTTCCTCATACTGCTCTGAATTACCTCTCAGCACTCTATATTTCCACACACACACACTGCTGAGTATCACCTCACACTGCTCTGTATCAACCCACACACTCTCTCTGTCTCTCATACTTACAATTGTAAGGTGCAATATGAAACTCTGTGTGCTCTCATTCTGACAGGTAAGAAAGAGCGTAAATCGGATTGTGGCGAGTGGCAGTGGAGCGTGTGTGTGGCTAACGAGGGTGACTGCGGCCTGGGCACCAGAGAGGGCACACGCACCGGCAACGACTGTAAACAGACCATCAAAACCCAGCGCTGCAAAATCCCCTGCAACTGGAAAAAGCAGTTTGGAGGTGAGAAGCCACACAAACACAGGTTGCATACACACACACAGGACTCAGGGTAAATAAACCTGCACTGTGGAGTAACAGGATGGAGATTCTCACAGAATTCTGTCCTCAGAAATGACACGACTGCAGTGAGAGCCAGAAACAAGCTGGCAGAATATACCACTTTGTGTGTGTGTGTGTGTGTGTGTGTGTGTGTGAAAGAGAGAGAGAAAGCATATGCCACCATCCCTCGGGATTTGTAGGTATGCACATAAACTATCAACAAACACTGAAACTGTAGGGTGTTTTCTCTAAGAAGTCTTTCTCTGGGAATGTGCAAGACCATCTCGCTCTGAAAGAACATCAGAAATCACAGACTTAATAAAACATGATCACACTAAACGTTGAGTGATGAATCCTCTGTGTATTTCTGTGTAGTTCAGCAGCCGTGTCAGAATAGTTTAGTGTTGAAATGCTGATGTCTAGTGCAGAATTTTTCCTCTTGAGTTATAAGGGTTCTATTTCACACCGGCCTCATTTTTGAGGGTCTCGATTCAGGACAGCGGCCATTCAGCCGGAGGGCTGCTGCATGTAATTACATTCTCTCTGCCTTTAAATATGTCATTAGAGACAATTTTGTGCTTGATTGAAGCAGTTTAACCCCCATCCATTCCGGCAGAGACTGAGAGAAATCACTCCAAAGCATGGACAGAAAGAATGAAAGATGAAATGAGACGAGAGATAAAGGAACGAGAGCATAGATCAGGGCTTCGCAATTGGTTTTGCTTCAGGATCCCGATTTTACATTAGCCATCGAGTGCCAACCCAACACTACCTAAATTGTTTATCGTGTAAAATTGCATTTTGATGGTCTCATGCTCTTGGCAGCCAATAATTCACCTCGCAAAACAAACCTCACTGTAAGTGAACCTGTATTTAATGTAGTATGGGTTGTGGTTTCTTTTCCCTTGTGTAGCCGGCAACCTGTTTTACTTCCATAATCTGATGTTTTTCCAAGTGATACAGGATATTCAACAAGAAAAAAATGTGGTTTTAAACTTTGGGAGTTATTGCATGGTGAAAAGTTTCTCCTTTGGACAGATGGTTGAAAAAAGAATTGGAGACGTCAGCTGAAAACTAGTTCAAGATTATGAAGACTAACATTTATTTTTTCAGAATAACATGCACTGATGTATCCGTCACAATAACACCAGGAAGATGTATTAAGACAGTAAATTTGGAAAACCTGTTTATGCATGTATGTTTTGCTTTTAAAATAGTGTATTTTTGACAGTTTCGTATAATTATGTTGCATTTGAACTCGTCAAAATCAAGTTGTGGGTTTTTGTCTTTTGCAGGTGAGTGTAAGTATGATTTTCAGGTGTGGGGAGAGTGTGACTCGACCACGGGAATGAAGACGCGCACCGGCATGCTGAAGCGAGCGCTGATGGACGCTAACTGCCCGAACACCGTCAGCGCCACCAAACCCTGCGGCAAACCCAAGCCCAAGATACAAGGTACAAGAATATACTCATAAAGACATAAAATATATTGAGCATGACATGTACTCATCTTGAGTGAATACAGAAGCTGTATCAATGATTTGATTGGAGTGCTAAAAATATTTTTGCATCAAGGCAAGACACCACAGGTGAATAGGGTAAAAATGATAATTACCATACTTCCCTAGTTGATTAATCATTGCTTTGATTTACAAGTATCCTGCATTGTTATGCTGAAATATGCAAACAATGCATTATCTAATTAACGATGCACTAATTTGCATACATTTCCAGAACAGAGATCCGAACATTGGATAGATCCAGATTAAAACTTCTTGTTTCATTTTGTTGACTTATTACAGTGATTTTGGATTTCTCTTTTTATTACTCTATAAATCAGAAAATACTGTCAACAGCCAGAAAAAATACATTTCACAATGTTTTTAGGCATAAAATGCAACATAAACCAAGCAAATGATCTATGATATATAAACCCCTCATTAAAACTCTCCAGAATGTAGATAGGAATACAACTGGAAAGTTTGACGTAAGCGCTGCTGAAATGGAGGAAAAACTGACAGCCTTTAAAGATTTGGATTGGAATTGAAATCTACAGATGCAGATGTTTATATTAAGGCAAAACACCACAGGTGAATAAGGTAAAAATTTGAATGACTATACTTCGCTAGTTGATTAATCACATTACAGTAATACAGATGTTTTGTATTACAAGTTGAAATATGCAAACAATGCATTATCTAATTAAATATGCAGTAATATGCATGCATTTCCAGAACAGAGATCCGAACATTGGATAAAGATTTTTATAGAGGGGACTTTGGAATTTTTTTTTTCTCACTCCATAAATCAAAAAATGCTGTCAGCAAACAGGAAAAATGCATTTTCACCATGTTTTTTGGAATAAAATGTTGCATAAAACCCCAAACAACAAACAGAACCCTCTGTAATACCCTTCAGAATACAGAGAGGAATAAAACCAGTGTACAAGTACAGTTTTGTGTGTATAAGTGAAGTAAAAAATGTAAAAGTTTATTTTGAGAAACAGGTTTTAAAGGTGTTAAATTGGAACTAAATCTACAGATGTACATAAATAAATCTGAATAAAATAAACACTTAAATGTGTTTTTGATGTTTTTCCCCCCACTAGTCTGAAATAAGACAAATTAGCCCAAAAACTGACCAGTGCATGAAAAAAACAACATTTTTGCCCATAATGCCTTAAAAAGCATTAAGAATCCAAATGACCAAATTAACCATGCAGCAATATGCTAATGTTTGCCATTATTGCAGACTATTCTCGTATTATTTTTCTATACAGTATACAGGTCTGTGTTTTGAACCGCAGGACTGTTATATCGTAAGGTTATGCTGAAATATTGATCAATAAGGTTTTTCTCTTTTTCTCAAGCTCAAAAAGATTCTAAAGACTCTATTAAAGTTGAATAAATATGATGGTTTCACAGTGTGTGTCTGTGTTAAAGGCCACAGACGGCTGGTTTGTGTTGTTGTCGTCATCTGTGCTTCATATTATTATGAAGGGAATACGCTGAGATTCATGGCAGCACTTGTATGTTACCGCAGTATTTCTACTGCTACCGTCTCCCGCTGATGAATCCCTCGTGCTGTAATATTCCTCATTTGTAAGTCGCTTTGGATGAAAGCATCTGCTAAATGAATAAATGCAAATGTAAATGTTGGCAACAATTCAGGCTGATCAAAAGAAATTCGTCTTAATCTACCAAGAGCATCATTTTTCAATCTGAAAGTCACAATTTAATTTTCCACCGCAAAAGAAAACACACAGACAGACAGCAGCATATGCATTTATTTAACTGATAAAGATGTCGTGAAATGATTGTGTTGGGATGAAATGGACAGTGAACCAGTCAGAGATGACATTCGGGTCAAGAACAGCTTTTCTAAACCTCACTGTTGCTGTAAATGTTATTAACCAGTGTTCAAGTGCTGTAGTAACGGTTGTGAATGCTGCTGGATCAGAAAGAGAGAGGGAGGATGAGGAAGTGGAGGGGAGATGGATTTGTCTGGAATGGATAAAAACAGTAATAACTGTTTTCAACATTGATAATAATCATAAATGTTTCATGAGCAGCATATTAGAATGATTTCTGAAGATCATGTGACACTGAAGACTGGAGTACTGATGCTGAAAATACAGCTTTAATCACAGGAATAAATTACAGTTTAACATAATCTATCACATACATTTTATCACATATTTACTGTATTTTTGAGCAAATCAATGCAGCTTTGGTGAGCAGAAGAGACAAAAACATTACACAATCTTAATTATTCTAGACTTTTGAATGGTATTTAATTAATAAACTATGAAAGCAACATCTGAGCATATCAAATGTTCCTCTGGGACTGCGTGTGTGTGTGTGTGTGTGATGCTGTATCTGTAGATAATGTGTGTCTGTGCCCTTTTCTGTGTGCCAACAAACAGAGGACAGAAGTGATTAGGAACTCCCTAGAAATTCCCTACAGATGGAACACACACACTCACACACTCTCACACACTCTCACTCACACACACACACACACACTCACACACTCTCTCACACACACACACACACACACACACACACACACACAGGGTGAGAGGGATGTTTTCGCCGGGGTCTGTTTGAGGTGATAAGAGCAGCAGCAGAGAGAATTGTGGGGGTTTGGGAGCGGGTGCCACTGTCACAGATGGATGAACGGATGTAAACACACACACACACAGAGACACAGACACATCTCACCTGTTAGTGCGTCCCGCGGTACAGCAGGCCAGACAGGACGTCACATCACTCTCGCTGATGTTCATGGTGAAGCGATGAGGATTTTCAGAGCCTCTGATTGGCCGGACGTCTGTTTGTGTCTCTCTGTCAGGTCACATGATTTGGCTCATATTAAAGGCTGTTTCTCTTATAACAGGCTGAACCGCTGCTGTCCGTCCAGCTCATGAGACGCAGATGCTGATGTGTGTGTGTGTGCAGGTTTATATACAAAGTTTCCTGTGAGGGGTAGGGTTGGTGTAGGGCAATAGAATATACGGTCTGTACAGTAGAAAAACCTATATATGTGTGTGTGTGTGTGTGTGTGTGTAAACAATTGCATGCTTTTGTTTTATATATGTATGTATATACAGTATGTATGTATGTGTGTGTGTGTTTATCGTAATCAACATTTTTAATATGTTTGCATAATATATAATACATAATGGTACAGTTTCACAGACGGGGCTTAGCTTAAGCCAGGACTAGGCCTTAGTTAAATTAAGACATTTAAGCAGCTTTTATAAAAATGCCTTAGAAGAAAACATTACAGGTGTGCATCATGAGACAGAACAATGTCACTGACATATTTAAAGAGCAAGATATTTTTAGTTGAGACGGCTCAAACATGCATTTTAGTCTAGGACTAGCCTTAAGTCTTGTCTGTGAAACCTGGGGAATATGTACAATGTTTTTAATATAAATATATTTCTATTAGAATATATTTTTAAAAGTAACTTAAATGTAATTTAAGTGTTGCCATCACAGGATAAATTACACTTATTAATAGAAATCAGTTCTAATAATATTTCACAGTTTTACTGTTTGTACTGTATTTTTAGTTTTTGTTTAGTTTAATTTTATTTATTGATCGATCGATTGATTGATTTTTGATCAAATAAATGCAGCCTTGGTGAGCAGGAGATTTCTTTCAAAAACATAAAAAAATCTTTTGACCAAAATGCATTTATTTATTTACACAGTACTTAATCTTGACTTGAGATTTGATTATATTGAGATCTGACGTTTGATTGCAGTCTTTTGTGATCCTGTCCAATCTGAGCACAGTTTGAGACCCAGATCTCTTCTGAAGCTCTAGATGAGCCTCACGTGAGATCACTGTGGTGTTTTTCTCTGGAGAAACAGCTGAGAAACTTCATTTCATCTCACTGCCGTCTAGAAGGAACAGCTGATCTGAAGATCTCATTTGTGATTCGTCTTTCCTCCGGTTTATTCTATAATTAGCCGTTGTTCTGGTTGTCTTTGTGTTTGATTGGAATGGGTTTATGCTAATGAGATGCTAATGCTATGAATGCTTGAATGGCATTATTGGACATGTAATCATCATCAGTCAGTTTAATGGAGATTTTCTGCACATTTTGATTGTTTTGTGTGAAAACGTATTTGTTTGGCGAGTTCAGACACGACTGCAGACGGCAGGTGTTGATGACAACGAGAACTTTTACACTTGAGCAGCTCTGATCAACAGGTGACGTCCGCTCTCACTAAATTCAGAAGAATGTTAATTAAACTAAGTCAAGGTTCATTTCATATCTGAGATGAGATTTATGCAGAGGAACCTTTATAAATATCCTCAAATAACAATAGAATCATTCAGCGTGATTATCTGGATTTCTCTTGTCACATTGTCCTCCAAATGATCATGCAATAAAAAAAAAGACGTGTTGAATTTAAAATATT